CATGTGTGTGAACCCTCGTCCAGGAATCAGCCGAGGCACACAATAACAAATTGATAATAGAGTACAGTTATTACTCTAATTAATAAGCGAATAAAATGTCATTACAGAGGTAGATAGTTCCTCTCAATCAATAAAGATCTAAGCAGCGGAAAATAAAATAAACGGCGCAGACGGCTCCACTCCACAGGCAGCTTGACCAAGGCTACACCTAATCCTCCACACCATCAGCCTCATTGTAGAACTCTTCCTCTGATGAATGATTGCAAGTTGAGTATATGACATACTCAGCAAGCCACGCAGCAAATATGCAAGTGCACAGGATAACAAAGGATGGCATAATAGGGTTCCATTTGCAAAAGCAGCATTTAGCAAACATTTCAGAATTTAATAAAACAGTTATGTAATAATTAAACAATATTAATCCAACACTATACAACATACCCTGTTGTATAGGCCCAACCATTCTGAACAACCACCCCGGCTGCACAGTTCTATCTCCAAACCAGGAATATACCATTCCAAACCAGGAGCTAAACAAATTATTACCAGTTTAAGCATCTTTTACTATAATGAGAGGTGTGAGACTAATCACGAAAGACATTGTTAGACCCGCCCATAACCGCGGGCACGGCTATTCGAATAGTTTTACTCTGATCAGAGGTGTACCACTGTACCCACAAGACACAACCCCACATCATGTCACCATGTGCCTCAATACCACCACGGTACCTCGGGAAGGAGTTGTGACAATACCCCTCATACAACACAATCCACTGCAGCGCACCTTCCTGGTTCATAATCACCCCCTTATAAACAAGGCATGGACTCCCCAGCGACCCCCGTGGGCTTATCTCCGCCACTTCTCAGTCTGGTGCCCCGCAATGAACCATGCTATACAAAAGATAAAGCCGTTGCCCACGCTGGCTTGTGGTTGGCACGGTTAATGTTTCACAACCGAAACTCGTGAACCGGTCCTTAATTGTCATGAGCACGACCATCAAAACCATGTGCTCACAACCCACCATTACCAGGTTTTAGTTGGCACATTAATTAATTAACTAATCACGATTGTCCATCGTGAACTATCATTAAGCCATCATTAAATAATAGTGAGTCATAAGTTATCCCAATAGTGTGCTAATGTTTCTAAGCAGGGCTAAGCAATTATTTCTAATATCTAGTTGAACCAATATAAATAAAGTTCAACCAGTCAAATTATTATAACCCAAGGTATCAAGGAATAAAGTAATCAAGAACAAAAGGGCTATAGCAAACAATAGGTTAATTCCACCCAATGACATTCGAAAATAAATGCAATAGTTGAAAAGAAATAATAGCTTTAAATAGGATCAACATGCTCAAAGGGTTGTTTGGGATCTGTGTGACTTGCCTTGCTGGCCTTGGAACTCTTCAAACTCTTCTCCGGCGAAAACGGACTCTCCGGAAACGACGGAATCTAAGCAGAAAAGAGCAAAATCACCAAAACAGCACATAAACAAGCATGAACAGTACATGTGGATATTTTTAATGTATAGATCTCAATTTTAGAAAAATTTAGAGACTTGAACCAACTAAATCGGAGCTAAGATGAATTAGTTATGAATTTTTAAAGATTAAATCGGATTAAAACACTTATATCGGTTTAAATTGAATTATGACGCAATAATGAATTATTTTTGAAAAGGAAAAGAAGGTTTATTGCGTCAGCGGGCTAGGGTTTCGGTGGACCGGGCGCACGGGCGGCGGTTCACGCGAACGGACGGCCCAGATCGATCCAATCCAAGACGGACGGCCGAGATCGAACGGTCCACGACCGGCTCACGGCGGACGACCCCGATGACGTCGGCAATGACGTCACCGACAGCGGCGGCGGCTCGGCGGAGCGGACGGCTCGGGCGGCGCACGCTCGCCGGCGAACGGCGGCACTTCGGCACAAACGGAGGGCACCAGCACGTAGAGGACGACGCGGCGAACTCACCGGTGACCAAAACGGCGGCGGAAGAACAACGGACGATGACGGCGACGAGGAGGAAGCGGCGGCAACCTTCGGGTCGACGGTGACGGCGATGCTCCGGCGGTCTTCGGCGGTGGCGAAGGCCCACGGCGGTCGGCGACGAGGAAGGAAAGATCGGGAAGAACGAATCCGAGACAAACTCGAATCCAACGCTTTCCAAAACGATTTAGCCAAAGATTCCAAAGGAGAAAAGGTAGAGGAGATCCCGAGGATCATTTCCCCTCTATCAATTCGGCCGGAAACGGAAAGGGACGGCCGGATTGGAAAGCGGCGGCGGCGGCGGCGCGCTAGGGTTTCGGCCGGAGGAAGACGACGGGCCTGACAGGTGGGCCCCACCTGTCAGCGGTAGCGAGGGCGCGCACGCGGGCGGCTGCGGACTGGGCCGGACTGGGCCGAGGAGAGAGAGAGCGGTTTTGGGCCGACTTTCGGCCCAAAGCCAAAAGAAGATTTTTTAAAACCTTTTTCAATTTAAATTATTTCTTAAATGCAATTCCATTTATTAAAAATACTTTCTTAGCTCAAATAAATCCCAGAAAAAATCTAGGAATTATAGAATTAAGCAAAGTATTTAATGAAATTTTATCTGGCCCCTTTTTATATTGGAATTTATTAATTAAAATTAGATCTTCTCTTCAAGACTTTTAAAATAAATTCTAAAAATTAAAATTAAACAACAATTTATATATTTTGAATTTTCAGGGTGTGACAAGTTGCGCCCATGGCACTTAAGGACCAGATCGCGGGAAACCCTAGAAGAATTCCTCGTACTTACCACAAGCCAGCATGGGCAACGGCTGGGCTTGTAGTGTAGCTTTCCTCTAGCTGACGCATCCAGGCAAGGGTGAGCGTGATGGAGCGGGGCGGGCCCTGTGACGGCCTCTGTCGCTTCCGGATTCACCTAGGCACGAGAGGGGACTGCCCGTTGCCCGCTGGGGACGGGGGTGAAACCTGAGGTGTGGTGTGCTTGGCTAGAGGGGTTATGCGAAGGGTCCTATCACGGCCTCTTTCCGGTATGTCATGGTGGCATGTCGGCGCACGGAAACGTGTCGTGGGGCTGTGTCTTGTGGGTACAGTTGTACACCTCTGATCAGAGTAAAACTATTCGAATAGCCGTGCCCACGGTTATGGGCGATCAACCGGATTCACCGTGATTAGACTCACTCTAGATTAGTCTAATGGAATTGAATAATATAGGTGGATGGTTGGGCCTGTTGCAACGTGGTATAGCGTTGGACAGTGGATGATTAATATTGATTAATTGTTACAACTGCTTTATTGCTTTCACTTCTGTTTATAAATGCTCGCTTTATGCAAATGAACCATTATAGCTGTCCCTTGATAATTCCCTGCACCATGCCCCTATTCCGGTATGACTTGCTGAGTACAGTGGGTAGTACTCGGCCTTGCTCTATTTTCCCCAAACCCCAAAGTTCGAGTATGCGTCAGATGACGGTTTCTCCGAGGAGTAGGCTTCGTCCGTGCCGTCGAGTGTGCCTGTGGAATGGTATTCCCGCTGCAGTCCAAGTCCAGACTTAGCTCCAGTTATCCTTTATGTTTTCCGCTGCATTTATGTAAGACTTTTATAATGTTTGTAAGACATGGATCTATATGTCAACTTTGTCGTTTGTGTACCTCGGCCGGTCCTGGACGGGGACTTTAATGCACATTCTGCTTGGAATTCTAGTTGGGAATTTCTGGGCGTGACACCCCCCCTTTACACGAGGGCCAGTTGGCTGGGACGGGGATCGTAGGCAAGAAAAGGTTCTACGATGACGACTTCAAAGATGTAGCGGAAGCACATAGCAGTGTTTTGCAACAACTCACCATCTTAGAGCCGTACATTCAGGAACACATGAACGAGATAAGAGCCCGCAACCCTAGAAGAACGGACATTTGGATTTGTAAAGAACAGAAACGGAAGTTTCCTAAATGGTTGAAGGAGAAAGATCTGTCGTTGGGTGATTCGCTGGAGGAAAAAACTTTGCGCAGGCTAGCAAATGGCCCAACTAGCCTTGTGACCTCATGGCAAGGGTACGACATCGGCGGATATGGATTTTACATGATATTCAAGGACAGGAAAAGCACAACTCAGAACAGCGGAGTTCGGGTGGAGGTGTTTGACGCATTAGGTGAGAAGAAGTCTTACTACGGGATCATACACGACATTTGGGAGCTGGACTATGGCCTTAACATACTGATCCCAGTGCTATGATGCCAATGGATCAGAGAACAGAACAGGCGTATTCATCGATGACTACGGCCTGATGGTTGTGGATCGTAGCATGCTAGGACACAAGGATGATCCGTGGGTTCTTGCTGAGCGGGTTGCTCAGGTTTTCTATGTCAGTGACCCTTCCGACGATAAGATGGCCATTGCTGTACTGGGAAAGCAAAACATCGTTGGCATTGATAGCATTCAAGACGCATCAGATTACAACCAATACGACGACGTCCCTTTGTTCACAGGTTTTCCTAACCGGATCAAGGAAGTTGAGACAAGCCTTGATGGAGATCTGTTTTTGTCTGCGCGGAAGGATGGTGTTTCCAAAATTGTCAAACATTAGTGAGATGTCGATCCTGTGTACTACCTATTTTGTAAACGATTACCGGATGAAACTTATATTGCAAATGAGATAGGGTATCCATGTTTATCCGTACTATATGTCGTTTTGAATTTATTTTATGGTCCAATATTTTATTTATATTAATCATATCGATGAATAATTAGATGCGAAGAAAATTCATGTCTGTTTTAATTCTATGTTAATCTATATTTGTATTTTGAATAATTCGTGGTTTAATAATTATACTTATTAATTAACTATAATTTACATGGGACTATAACAAATAATTAACTATTTTTCAATGTGTTATAGTCAATATAATAATTAATACAATCCTAGGCAAATAAAGATATTTTTTTAATAAATTGGGCTTTTTTTCTTCCCGTGCGGGCTCGAATCGATTATTCCGTGCGGCGGCCTAAGCCTCCTCCCCAGCATCCACCGCCGCCTCCTCCACTCATCGGCTTCCTCCACCGCCGCTGCTTGCATCCTCTCCCCCCCAGCCCACCACCGTCCGCCGCCTCCGTCCCCTCGCTCGACATCGCCGCCACCGCTGCCTCCCTCTCCTCCATCCCCCTCACTGCCTCCCTCCCCTCCATCCCCCTCGTTCCACATCACCGACGCCGACCACCTCATCCCCGTCGACGTCGACGCTGACGCCGACCACCTCATCCCCACCGACGCCGACGCCGACCACCTCATCCCCATCGACGCCACCGCCGATTGCCTCCTCGACCGACGCTGCCGACGTCGCCGAGGCCACCGACGGCGGACCTCCTCCCCAAGCCGACGACGCCACCGACCGACGACGCCGCCGACGCCACCGACCACTTCCTCCGCAAGCCGATGGCCACCTCCTCCCCAAGCAGCGGCCACCTCGCCCCCAAGCAGCGGCCGGCCACCTCGCCCCCAAGCCGCCGGCCGCATCCTACCTCCTCCCCAAGCCTCCTCCAGGTACCCCTCTCTTCGCCGCTTTCTTTTTTTTGGATGATGCAGTGGTAATGGATGGAATGATGCAGTGGAATGGATGATTGAATGATGAAGTGGATGATGCATGCAGTAGATGCAATGTTGGATGAATTTTTTGAATGAATGAATGATTTTAGGTTGAATGGATGAATGAATGTTGATTTGTGATGTTGAGATGATGATGATATTTGTGATAGATAGATGGCTGTTTGTGATAGATAGATGATATTTGAGATGATGATGATATTTGTGATAGATAGGACTTGTGCTCTTTGTGATAGATAGATGTATGTCTATATGGGATATATGGCTGTTTTATGTCACTGTGGGTTTTTTTTTTTCTACACATGATGAAATATATGCCCCTGCTGAAATATAATACTAATTTGCAAATGATGCTGTTATGCCCCTGCTGCTGTTGTGCATATACATGATGAATTATATTTTGCTTCTATATGTTTATATATATGTGATGTACATATATGCTGTTTATTTTTGCTGTTTATACTTGTTTATACTGTATATGCTGTTCCGCACAGGTTTTATATATGCTGTTTTATACATGTTTATTTTGGGTGATATATGTGGGCTGTTTTGGGTTTATTTTGGGTTTATTTTGGGCTGTTTTATGCCTCACTGTGGTTGATACATGTGGGTGATTGTTGTGGGTGATATATGTGGGCTGATTTATATGTGGGTGATATGTGGGCTGTTTTATACTTGTGGGTGATATATGTGGGCTGTTTTATGTTGGTGATAAATGGCCAATGATGAATGCTCAAAGAACAGATCATCTACACTTGTCTTCTGAATTTTTTTGGGGGCAATCCACTTGTTTTTTTCTCAAGAACAGAACAACTACACTTGTGAAATATTTTGGGGGGCACATCACTTGTTTATTTTTGCTTGAGAACAGACAACTACACTTGTGAATTTTTTTGGGGGGGCACTTCACTTGTTTTTTTTCCCACATAAGAACAGACCATCTACACTTGTGGCCATATGCTTTCATAGTGTGCATGGTGATGAATATCCTTACCAATCTTGCTATCGTTACCCATCTTACGTTCCTTACCGATCTTGCTTTCCTTACCAATCTCCTAAAATTAGATATAGGAGGTGTAGTTCGTACGTTATCATGCCGCTATAATATGAAGTGTTCTGGTTGCCAAGTTGGCTTGGTCGGTTTAGTTCCTGGACGGAACCGACTAGTACAAATTGGAAAAACAGAACATTTCGTCAACATATGACATGCGTTGGTCATTCGTAAAATGTGCTGGCACGTCTGTTGAAAGATAGACCTCTGACTCGTACATGCGTCGGCCTCGTGGATGGACCAGGAGCTCGACATTCCTTAAGGTCGTTCTTTCCGACCCATACAAGGTTCCGCTGCCTGCATTGTTCCAAGAGTGTCTTGGACAAAAGCAGGAAGTGGAACCTTGTTAAGGTCGGAACGAACTGCCTTAAGGAAGTCGATGCTCCAGGTCCGTCCACGAGGACGACGCAGCTAGGAGTTAGAGGTTTATATTTGAACACACGAGCTAGCCATGTGATCAAAACATGTTTTTACTTTGCTGTTAATATGATAGTTTAGTTTAGTGGTTATGATAGTTCAGTGGATTTGAACGAATATAAAATTGAGTTTTAAATTATTCCATTGTAAGAACGCGAATCGAAGATGTCAGGCAAGACAGCTCCGGCGGGCACAGAACCGACGGTCAATAAACCTAATGGGCAGGACAGCTTCGTCGGACACAGAACCGACGTCACTAACAATCCCCAACACAAAGAAGATGCCGGGAAGGTACCGGCGTCGAGCGAGGAATTGTGGCGCACACCGAGCGACCCGTTTGAGCTAGAACTAGCGCAATTGCAGTATGAAAGACCTGAGGATGACCCCGATTATATTCCTATCAAGCAGGCGGTAATAACTTAATCCTATCGAAATATATATTTTGAATTGAACTTTCCCCGACGTAGCGGTCTAATGACTTAACCGTGCAGATGGCAACCCGTCGTCGGTCAAAACGAAGTGCCGTCAGGGTTGAACCTGATTCGGACACAGCGACCTCGGGATCACCGCAAACGGACACGACGACGAGTGGTGAAGCTTGTCCAAAGAAAAAACGTGGCGAGAAGGGCAGGAACCTCTTGCCGAAGGAGACGTACTACATTGCTGCTCTCGACGATGACGGCAAACCCGTCGAGCCGGAACATGTAAGGGCGAAGTTTAGCACCGCATGTGGCGCGCTGGCAAGGCTTCATGGGCCTCTCAACGTGGACGAATGGAAGCACGTTAGCATTCACATCAAGAACTTAATGTGGGAAGGTCTGCAGGAGCACCTTATTTATCCGCCTGGGTCGGAGTCAATTGGCCGGAAATTTGCACTGCAAACAATTGCCCATCGGTGGCGACAGTGGAAGTCGGACATGGACACCAATTATATTCAGAAGAATAAGACTCCATTTGAAGAATGTGGCAACATTTCAGCAGCTGAGTGGGACAAGTTCGTGGCCAAGATGACAACGCCTCAAGCTCTAGAAAGGAGGAAGAAGTTGTTGGACCTGGCGAAGAAGAAACATATATCCACACAGGTTAGGGTCAAGTGGATACGCCGGTCACGAGAAGAAATGGCGAGCTATGGAGGAAAAGTTTGTGGCCGAAGGCAAACCTTTGATTGTGCAGCCCATAAATAAGAGAACTAGAAATTGGGTGTGGGCAAGAACTTCGGGGCAAGTGACAGAAGAGGGTGAGATGCTGTTGGACTGTCCGGACATCCAGAACGTGACCACGTCTCTCCAGTAGATCGTCCAGAAGGAGAAGACCGGTGAGTTCGTCCCTCGACGGCAGCATGATGAGCTGACCGAAGCTTTGGGAACTGTAGAACACTCCGGTAGGGTCAGAGGACAGTTGTGCAGGACGAATTGGAAGGTAGGGTTTCCACAGTGTCGGTGACATGGGACCGGGAGTATCATGACTAGAGGTTTGGGCAGGAGCAATCACCCACGTGGCCTGACCCCCTCGGGGGGGTCGGGCCCGAGGGTGATGAGGCCGCCCCTCTCTTTGTCTCCCCGAGGGATCGGACCACTCCCGTTTCGGCCCCGAGGGCTGAGGCGCCCCTCACCGGGAGACCGCGCAGGCCCCCCTTTGCCGGTTCGGCCGGGGGCCCTGGGTGAGATTCTAAGCTCCTAGTCTGTGGAAAGTTCGCGAGAATGGAAAAAGCACAAGACACGGGCGATGTATACAGGTTCGGGCCGCTGAGAAGCGTAATACCCTACTCCTGTGTTCTGGTGGATCTGTGTATGAAGAAGCTACAAAGAGCTGTAGAGCCAGAGAGCTCTTACTCTAGAAACCCTCTTCTCCCTTTTTTCCTCTCGTCGGATCTACTCTCCAGATCCTCTCTCTCTCTCCTTTCGTCGTCCCTCCTTTCCGTCCCCCCTTAAGTGGGCAAGGTCCTTTTACATTCGTCTACGGCGCGGAAGCGGTTCTCCCATCCGAGCTCACCCTGAGGTCCCCTCGGGCCACCATGTACTGCGAGGCTGATCAAGATCAGCTTCGCAGAGATGACCTCGACTACTTGGAGGAGCGAAGGCGGCGCGCGGCCCTCCGAGCCGCGCGCTACCAGCAGAGCCTGCGGCGCTACCATCAGCGCCACGTCCGGGCCCGATCACTCTGCGTCGACGACCTCGTCCTACGCCGCGTCCAAACGCGTGCTGGATTGAGCAAGCTCTCACCAATGTGGGAGGGTCCGTATCGAGTGATCGGCGTCCCCCGGCCGGGCTCCGTTCGGCTGGCCACGGGCGACGGCACAGAGCTGCCTAACCCGTGGAACATCGAACACCTTCGTCGCTTCTACCCCTAATGGAGTTCGGGTGTCAGGTTTCGGGCTCGGGCCAACCCCGCACCCCCTTCAGGCGTGCAGGGTTGGCCGGGGGCTACCACATATGCATATTTTTTCTTCTATCTGTATTTCAATAAAAGCATTTTCGATTTTCTAAAGGTTGTATCTGTGCTGTTGTTTCCTTTTGAAGAATCTTGACTTGAAATAGGTCACTCGTGCTCAATCCTGCCCTCGGGGGCTCGGGTCGGCTAAAATCGCCAAAAGGGGCCAGAACCGAGCCGTGCCCCGGGGCGTGGTGAACTCCGGGGGGGAATCGGCAAAAACCCACAATCGGGTCACCCATAACCCTCGGTCACCACGCTCCCGGCCTGGCCAGTCTCGACATGTGGATCTCCCCAGGCACCAGCCCCGACCCGAGCCATTTGAGGACTGGGACCTGGGCACGAGCCCTTGTTCAAGCTAAGACACAAAAGGACCACGGCACAGATCATCCTCGTTCTCAAACACACAGCAAAATGAAATTGACACAGAAATTTCTTTATTTTGGTTGCAGATTAAGTTAATCTATACAAAAAGGAGGCCTGAAGGCCTCGGAAGAAAGAAAAGAAGAAAAAACTATTTAAAGATTGGCGGGGGCCTGGGGGCTCACTCCGATGCACCCGGGTCGCCAGCCTCGTCGCCACTGTCGCCCACTCCGCCGTCATCGTCCTCCTCATCGGAGTTGAGGGCGAACGCGAGTCGAGGGGCCGAACCCTCGAAGCTGTGGACGATATGGTTGGCGGCGTCCCGGACCTGCGCGCGCGCGCCGTCCTCGGTCCCGGGAGGGAACTCGTCCAGCGCCGTCCATGGGGAGAAGTCGGGGTCCCTGGCCTGGTAACTCGCCAGTACGAGCTCCACCGCTCCTCGGGCGAGGTCCCTCGAGGATGACTTAATCGTCCTCTCGAGCTCCTCCGGGAGCCGCTGGAGAGTCCCGGCCATCTCCGAGAGGCGTTGGGCGAGGCCCCCCTGGTTGGCGGCGTACTTCACAGTCCGCCCGCCCCAGAGACCCGCCTGCCGCCCGGCGCGGTCTAAACGGGACACGGCGTCGCGAAGCATGCTGGGCCCTATCTCGCCTGCCAGGCGAAGGGCCTCGACCTCCCCGGTGGACGAATTCAGCGCGCCCTGCAGATCCGCGATGGTGTGTTCGGCAGCTGCGAGGCGGGCGGCTAAGTCGCTGTCGCCCGTGGCCGCCCCGCCGCTACGCGCCCTTGCATCCAGCTCCCTTGCCTGCGCCTCGAGTTCAGCGGCCCGCTGGTTCAGTGCGGCCCTCTCGGCGCGGGCACCTTCCAGATTGCGACGCGCTTGTTCCTCTAGCGCAGCCTCACGGAGGGACGCGCTCTCCGCCAGCCTTTGCGCCGCGGCCTCAGCCTCCTCGAGGGCTCGCTCCCGCTCGATGAGCGCATCTTCGCGGAGGCGGAGTGCGGACTCCTCTTCGGCGCAGGCGGCTTCGTGCGCCGCCAGTGTGACCTCCCGAATAGCAACGGTGGCCTCGCGGTCCGCCAGGTCCCTCTCCACGACGCAGGCACGCTCTACCATCGCCATGGCACGGGCCTCAAGGGCTTCTTCGCGCCGCCGGGATGCCACCTCGGTCTCCGCCGCCCGCCGTTCTCGGGCAGCGGCAGCGTCAAGGACCCCCCGGGCGGCGTCGAGCTTCTTCCCTAGCTCCGCCTCCCAGCTCACGTATTGAAGGCGGAGGTCGTCCTGCGCCTCGTTCATCACGGTAGTGGCGATGAGGGCAGCCCCCCGCTCCTCCTCCACTTCCCTGGCGATCTCCCCCAGCACCTTCCGACGGGCTTCGAGCTCTGAGGCGTGCCGGCGGTGTGCCTTGCGGCCCACCTCCACCATGGCCTCCACTGAGCGTCGCCCCTCTTCGACACGCGCCCATGCGGCGTCGAGCTCCGCCCGCTCTGCTTGCAGGGCCTCCATCTGGGCACTTAACCCGTCCAACACCGTGGTGTTTGCGACGGCCAAGGCCTGCAGAAGGGGCTCTGCGCTCAGTGGGGCAGCGGAAGGCGTGGGGGAGAGCCGCCTCGGTGAGGATGCCGCGCGGCTCGGCCCGCCGATGGACGTGCCGGACTCGGGGACGTCCCCCGGACCTGGCTTGTCCTGAGCGTCGCCCGAGGGAGTGGGCCCAAGCGATGCGCCCGCGGCCTCGTCGCGAGCTGCCTCGGAAGTCGTCGTCGCCTCGGCCTGGCGAAGTCTGGCCTCCTCCCGAGCGGCTTCTTCAGCTTGGCGAGCTCGGACGGCCACCTGGGCAGCTTCCTCGGCTTCCCGAAGGCGATCCGCGGCTTCTTGCCGGTCAATTTCGCGGGTTGCCTCGGAGGATGTCGTCGCCTCGGCCTGGCGGAGTCTGGCCTCCTCCCGAGCGGCTTCCTCAACCTGGCGAGCCCGGGCGGCCTCCCGGGCGGCCTCCTCGGCTTCCCGTAGGCGATCCGCGGCTTCTCGCCGGTCAGATTCCCGCCTCCGGGCCTCCGTGGTCGCCGCATTCTCGGCCTCAGATTGGCCGGACTTGGATTGGCAAGAAGGACGCGACGGGATCTCGCTGAAGCAGAAGAAAAGCCAGAAGACAAACAAGATGGGTGAATGAAAACTCGCGTTGGGAGAATGAATATAGCCACAATGGGCGTGGGACGAACCTGCGAAGGGGTCGGTTAAACGACCACCTTGGAGGGGAAATAAGGTTTCCCCGGGATGGTTCTGTCCCCCCCATCTTGCGGAGCCGTTTCTTCTTCCGCTCCCCCTCGGGCTGCGGCGTCGGCGTGGCCCCCTCCGGGCGCCTGCTGCTGACACGCGCCGCCCCGCCCCCTCGGGGAGGAGATGGGGAGGAGGTACCCTCTTGCTTCCTCTTCCCTCGGGCGTCGGCAGGGCGGCTGCCCCCCGAGCCCCCATCACGGGGCCCGGAAGCACGACCCCCTCCTGGGGTAGATTGATCTCCCTTGCGGCTCCCGCTCGCACCGTCATGGCCCTTAGGAGCTCGCTCCTCTGAGGCCCCGACCGCCATCATGATGGTCAGGATGTTGGCGCGATCTGGATCGCTGCAGAGGGGGAGGACTCCTTGGGGGATGAGGGATGCCTCCACGGAGCTGAGATTCAGCACCCGTTGGATCATTACCTTGAAGTCTTCAGGGACCCAGTCCCATTTGACCCCCCGGTGGGTCCTCATACAGTCCTCGGACCCAGTGTACTCCCAGGCGCCCCGGGCGCGCCGCTGGAGTGGCGCGATCCGGCGACGAAGGTAGTCGCCGTACACCATCGCCCCTGTGAGCCCCTGGGATCGCAGGCCCGCCAGGCGGTCGAGGACGGCGTCGTAGCCATCTCCCAGATCTACCGGCGCCCGCTAGCTGGAGGCCTGCGCCGGGGGCTGGCTCGGAAGTCGGAGGCGCGCTTCGTCGGCGAGGGGGGTGTAGAACCAGTCGCTCTTCCAGTCATCCCACTTCTTGCGGAGGACGCAGGGAATGTAGCGGTTCAGCACCGGCCCCCGCGGCTGGAAGTAGCAGCCACCAACCACCGACGGCGGCGACACTGGCTGTACGGTGAAGAACCACCGGAACAGCCGAAGGGATGGGCGCACCCCGATGAACATCTCGCACAGGTGCGCGAAGATGGCCAATGTCATTACCGCGTTGGGGGTGAGGTGCGCCATCTGGAGATCGTAAAACTCCAGAACATCCATGAAGAAAGAAGAAAATGGCGGAACCAGCCCTGCCATTGCAAAAGGGAGGAAGAAGACGGACCGCCCCGGGTAGCGTGGCGCCGGGTGTCCCTCGCCCAGCGTGACTATCTCCCGGCCGGTGGCAGATTCCGGCATGAAGCGGCGCGGCAGCCCGGCCTGCCTCTCGCTCACGATGCGGGAAGGCGGCAGCACGCTACCATCGAGCGGAGCGGAGCCCCGTGCCATGACGCCGGAAGAAGAGATGTTTGAGAGCGAGCGCGTGTGGCGAGGGTAGGGCACAGGAAACAAGGAGTTAGGGCGCAAGCAAGGGGAATAATGGCGAGAGGAAGGAAGCAAATCTCTTCCTCGGTGTCTTTATACCCTTGCCAACGCTGTACCCGGCTCCTCGCTTCTCGCGCCCACTATCTCTCTCCCTCGTTTCTCGCGCCCACGCTTCCACTAATCCCATTCGCCCGCTTGCGGCGCACGAGGTGGATATGCGGCAGTGGCGGTCGAGATGGAACATATCGTGCGCGCGTTAATTACGCTCGCCGACCGAAGCGCCATCACCATATCTCCAGGCAAAACGAACCGGCTCGTCCCGATTCGCGTGCTACTCGAGTAATGTGGCAGTCTTGAAGAGACCGCTCATTATTGACAGCCGAGTTACCATTGCCGATGTGTGTGATTTGCGACCGTTGGGTTTCTGCCCAACTGTAGAGACCAGCCCCACTTGTCACCAGGCCTAAGTAAGTGGCGTCACGCCCGACCGCTTCCCTCGAGGAGGGCGATCGCCCTGGCATAACGCCGGGGGCTACTGTCGGTGACATGGGACCGGGAGTATCATGACTAGAGGTTTGGGCAGGAGCAATCACCCACGTGGCCTGACCCCCTCGGGGGGGGGGGGGGTCGGGCCCGAGGGTGATGAGGCCGCCCCTCTCTTTGTCTCCCCGAGGGATCGGACCACTCCCGTTCCGGCCCCGAGGGCCGAGGCGCCCCGACCCCTTGTGGGTTTTGCGCCGCGTGTATAGGTTAGGTGAGCACGGCGGGGCTCACCTAACCGCATTTATTGCGGTTTGAACGAGCGCGTCACGCCGAATGTAACGCAGTGCAGCGCGCTCGTTTATCCGGTCTGTGACCAGTCACAGACCGGTCAGATCGTGGGTTAGGTGGCGACAGGCGGTCTGACGCACGCCTCGCCCCATCCCGTCAGGATGAGAGCCTCCAAGCACTCGTCCCTAGCCGGAGCCGGCGTGTTAGCTCCTGGAGATGGCACGTTGGTCCCGGTCAGATATATGCCAGGCTTCATCCCAACCGTTACAAGCAAGATATTGTATGAAGAAGGGCGAACATGCAGATTGCTAGACTGACACGTGGTGGACAAGAATGACCGATTTGTGACCGGTCTGACACTGGTCATGTCGTCGGCAGACAACCATGTTCCCACGTTGCACCTGCTTCCGGCGGAGTGGAGGTAGGTATGGGCCATCCCATCAGAAGGTCATTCGGACAGCAGCCATTGCAAGTCTCCGCCCATTTATGAAGAGATGACAGGGTGATCCCCGAGGTCAGACGAGTGAGGACGCGTGGCCACACTAAAAAACAAGCAGTGTTTTTAGCTTTCTAGAGAAGGCAAGCCAAGTTTGAGTAAAGATAGGATAAGTCCCCACCAAAAAGAGAGGTGGTGCATGTGGTATCCCCTTGAGATATAAAAGGAGGACCTTGCCCACTGAGGGAGGGGAGAAAAAGAAAAAAGGAGAGAGGATCTGGAGAGTAGATCCCACGAGAGAAAAAAGGGAGAAGAGGGTTTCTAGAGGAAGAGCTCTCTGGCTCTCCAGCTCTTTGTAGCTTCTTCATACACAGATCCACCAGAACACAGGAGTAGGGTATTACGCTTCTCAGCGGCCCGAACCTGTATACATCGCCCGTGTCTTGTGCTTTTTCCATTCTCGCGAACTTTACACAGACTAGGAGCTTAGAATCTCACCCAGGGCCCCCGGCCGAACCGGCAAAGGGGGGCCTGCGCGGTCTCCCGGTGAGGAGCCCCACGCTCCGTCACACAGGAAGCCCAAAGTTACAAGAAGCGCGACGCCTACAAGGCCAAGATGCGCCAGGAAATCACAGATCAAGTCACACAACAAGTCACCCAACAGTTCTACAGTCTTGCCGCACAACATCCTCAAGCCTTCCCTGACCTGGTTCCTCATGGTTCGCAGTCGACACAGATCCCAAGCTCTGTCGAGTCGGTTGAAAATACAACCTACCCGGTAGATAGTATAACTGGTCCGACACCGTGCAACCTTGTCGTTCCGATAGGGAGAGCGGGAAAAACAAAGGAGGTTGCGTCTGGATTGGCTATATCGGGGAGACAGTTCCATAATAGCTCAATTCTGGTGGACTATGCAAGGGTTCAGGTCGCACGTGTTCATGGCGACCAGATGTCGTTGGAGCTTGACATCCCAACACCAGAGGGGATTGAACTTCTCGGGGATGCGGTTAACCAGTTCATACTCTGGCATCGTCGTGACATCATCCTCACTGGACAGTTCACGTTGATGACACCAGCTCCATTGGTGCCAATTACGGCTGCACCTCCTGCACCACCGTCCCCTCCGATCTGCACTACCCCACCCGGATCTCCACTCCCACAGATATCACCAGTTAGAGGTCCCTCTCCACCTCCACAACAAGTAGCACCTAACTCCCCAACTACCCTACCTCGGCAGCCGTCTCCTGCTCCTCAGTCCTATCTTGTCCCACCCCTTGACGAACATGTGCCACCTCCACAGCCAGATACATCAAAGGAGCAGCCAAAAACCTGTGAAGCCCGCAAGCTCATACCCGTTATAGTATCCACGTACACTAAGGAGAAAATGGCAGAGTATGAGACACGGATGGTTTTGCAATCTTTCAAGGGTCGAGGGGGTCCGCTAAAGCCAGTTGGACCTGATCAGTATTCGGACGCACAGAAGAGCGTTGTAGGTCTTGCTGACAAAATGCAATCTTGGACCTCCGATGAAGTGCCTAAGGAGTATGAATATGGCAAGCCGTTTTTGCCGTTCAACTTGATGTGTGAACTCCCATGGCCAATGAGGTTGATGCATGAGTGGTACTTGAGGGCAAGTGAGTTAGGTCTCGGGATGATTACTGTGCATGTCCCGGGAGGCGCTTTCAAGGATGGACCTAATGCAAACTTCGCCTTCAGTTTCAAGGACCTCCACGCATTCCTTAAGATGGATAAAATGGATATCAATCTCGTCGGCGCGTGGTGCCTGTAAGCATTGCATGTACTTCGTTATTACCCAATGTGTGCCAATATAATTGTTACTTATTCTAACTTCCAAATTTCCTCAGGTCACAATGGGTAGACGCTCAAAAAACGGGGGCCTCAATCGGTTACGTAAATCCAACGATGGTTTGCGAGACGGCCCACACTGTGCGGATATCGGAGGATAGTGCGGTACTAAAGAATAAGACACCTCAGGAGGAAAAAGATTACATCGAGCGTCTGCATAAGAGAAAGATGGCCGAGGTGGGAAATTACTTGGCCACCTCATCTCTCGCACACTCCGACAAACAAGTCATCATGGTCCCCTACCACTTTGGGTAAGCAACTTCGACATATTTCCGTTCACATATTAATAACAGCACATGAAAATATGTCTAACATAATTTCATAATCCGTGTTCGCAGCGAACACTACATACTATTCTTCGTCTATCCAACAGACCAAACCGTCGTAGTTCTTGATCCAGCGGACCATGACAAGGACGCGTACATGGAGTTCCTATGCTTGTTGAACTTGTAAGTTCGAAACAATTTTCGTAAAGATTCCAACTTTCCGTAAAGATCATTAAAGTAGATTTATCATAAGTAATTAATTTATTTTTGTAGAGCACACGGCCGTTATAAGAAACATGGCGGGTACGTAAAGAATCCAAGTAGAGAGAAATTGTACATAAGGGGACACTGGCCGGTATGTCAGCATTTATTCGGTACGTACATCACGATTGTCACTTCTTATTTCTGACGTGTCCACTTATGTATGCAATGTTATAAGCAACCTAGCTTGACAAACCTATGCGGTTATTACGTGTGCGAGATGCTCAGGGTCAATGGGAGATACAGAACTGAGTTTACATATGTAAGTCATTAAACTCTCCTATTGCAAATAGTTCATTAAACATGACTGTAACACAAATCATTTGTCTTTTAATTTCCGTAGCTCCCGAGTATCCCTTATAGTGCAAGTTGGTTCGATCAGAGAACGCTTATCAACTTGTGCGCGGACTTGTGCCGGTTCATTCGTCGCAACATCTGCAATCATCTAGGAGAGTTCCATGATCCTCATAGCGTACTTGCTACGGACCCCAAATTCAAGAATCTAAGAGAGTGGGAGAGGCAACATGCTGTGGACTAAATGGATGTATTTGTCGCGAGGGATGCTTGTAATAAACACTATACTTTCTATGTAATATGATTTAATTTGATGTTTCGGCTAATTTTCGACTAATTTTCCATCTATTGTCCCGTGAGGTCAAATTATACAGACCGCACGGGATAATAGGTTATCCCAAACGGCTAGCACGTGCTAGGGCGTCCCGTGCGGTCGCCCTAGCACGTGCTAGCCATGGGGGGTAACCTATTATCCCGTGCGGGCCACCTAATTTGACCACACGGGAAAATAGATTATCCTGTGCGGTCAGCCTTACTGCACCACACGGGATAATAGAATATCCCGTGCGGTCCGTATAACCAATCCGCACGGGATAATCGATTATCCCGTGCGGTCGGCACGCCCGCACGCGAAAATAAAGATTTTCCCAGACGATGAGCTGCAGGCGGGCCGGGCGACCGCACGGGGATAATCTATCCAACCGCCCGGAAAAATGGGTATTGTAGTAGTGTATTGTTCTTGCTCTTACAAAAAAAAGCCCTTTCTTTTCCTAGAATGTTGGACCCTCTCTCTTGGAGTCATAAGCGAAGTGGCATGATAAGATGAAGCAATTATCATTCCATAAATCTTGTGCCAAAAGCAAGCACAGAAGGTCTAGATAAAGCTAGCCATACCCACAAATGATGATACTACCCGTTATGATGGCAGAAAAAATGAACATATGGAGACCGAAGAGGAAAATTAAGAGACCCATAGATAAGAGAAGGGTGAAGAGCCAATACGGTCCCTGAAGTTTCGCTTCGGGCTCAGGATAGTCCTCGATGTTTCAAATCGTCCAAATAAGTCCTCCAAATTAATTATTTGGGTAAATATAGTCCTTGGACCCACAAAAAATGCCGCGTGAGCATGCCGAGTCATCATCGCGTGCAGCGGTATGAATGGAATGAAATGACCATTCTACCCTTATATACCATATGGAAAAGAAAGAAAATACAAACAAAAAAAATAACAGGCTATCCCAGGCCAGCATTGTTGCGGATGGGTGGCCGACAAAGGAATTTACACGATCAATGCTTGGCTGCAGCAATCGTAAGTGACAATTCTAAAATGATCATACATGTGTGAATCATTTATCTTCTTCTTTTCTTTCTTTTCTATATGGTATATAAGGGTAGAATGGACATTTCATTCATACCACTGCATTCAAGGATGACCTGCGATGCTCACATGGCACTTTTTGTGGGTCCAAGGACTATATTAACACAAACGATTAACTTGGAGGACTTGTTTGGACAATTTGAAACCTCAAGGACTAAACTGAGCCCGAAGCGAAACTTCATAAACTGTATTTGCTATTTGCCCATAAAAGAAGGCGAAATGGCAGTTGAGGTGTGGTGGAAGTGATGCATGCACAGAGGCTTACACCATTTGTGGGTGAGAAAAAAGGAAACTAATGCAGAGAAAGAGAAGAAAGATGAGAGCTGCCAACAGTCTTACCAACTAGATAAAAAGAGGCTTGAGTTATATAAAGAGAGGCTAATTTACAGTTGAAGAGCATATTAGAAGAAAAGAGATCAAATTATGACAATAGACATTCCTTCTATGCCTATCCCGCAGCAGCTGTTCTACATGTAACTTTTGTTAGTAGTAGCAACTAGCTAGTTTTTAAAAATTGATCATGCACAATAGATATACCATGGCTAGCTAGCTAGCTAGCTAGCTATATAAAATTCTCTCAGATGACCTTGCAAGCACTAATCAGGGTATCCATTACCCATTTGTTATGAACATTAGCCTTTTTGTTGTTGTTGCTTACTCATAAAGGTACGAATTGATTTTCTTTTTTCTGAAAAATGTCGTGCTTCTTTGTTGTGATCAACTACTTCATCTTCAGTGACAGACCCACTATGTGTTTAGGCCATTGACAGAGTGCGAATGGCTATGCACAATTTTGTGGTGTGGCAAAAGTGAATTCATCAACGACGTCGGACGATGATTCGTCAAGTAGCCGTTGAAATAAGGGGCAAGAATGACTTATCATGGAGAAGATTGCCAAACCGTTAAATATCAGATCAAATTAAGATTTTTGTTTCTCATGACATCGTCAGATCAAAGGGACATCTGTTAACGGCATGTACTGCTAATGGATCGCATGGGCCCTTCCATTTCTCCACACACTGGTGGCAATGTCTACCGGTGAGTAGGGATGAAATCAGTTCGAAAAGTTTCCTGATTCCGGACGTGTTTTCAGAAATAGGAAGTGTTAGTCGGAATTTTTTCAGAAACTTTCGAAAATGGAAACAAATTCAGAATTCCTTTCTTGGAAAAAGGAAATGAATTCACAAGGCTACTATATGTTGGAAACCGGAATCCATTGTAATATTTCCAGAAACGAATTCGGAAACTTTCCTGAAACAAATTCAAGTTTTTTCTTGGATAGATTCGGAAATAAAAAAAATTGTCATGTACAACTGATTAGCTTTAGCTTTCTGTACTCTAAATGTTTAGATTTATACCATATGTATTAAGATGCTTAACTAAATAGAGATATTTTCATCTGACCTCGATCGTTCGTGCACAGAGGTCACCGAAAAAAACACCGATCGCTACCTACCGTAAATGTAAGATCATTGCAGCGAGGCAATGACCGTTCCCACGCTAGTGCTTATATGTCCATTTAACTCATTATATCTCTGTTCAAAATGGGAAACTTTTTTGGTTTTGCTATATTTCTTGCGGCAAATTTCTTGGAGAAAAACTTTCAATTTTTGGACCACTAGATCTGCTCCAAGATTCGTGGTTTTGCTAGATTTCTTGCGACAGATTTGCTGGAGAAAAACTTTTAATTTTTCGACTGCTAGATCTACTCTGAGATTCATGGTGGCAGGCCGTGGAAAAATTTCAGCAAATATTCGATAGGAGGATGATTTGAGCACAGAACCTCCAGCAACTTAGCTTTAATTGCTAGCCAAGTTACATACAATTTACGATATAATTACAATATAGTTATTAGCATGTAGTTCCATTTGAAAGATTGTTTTCCTAAAAACATATGACAGAATTTTATATACTTATTTTTTGGAAACTAATTTTTATCCCTTTCTTGGATAAGTTTTAACACGGCAGTGGCATGGAAGGCGCTGGTGTCGATGGTGCTGGTGCAGATTTTCATCATGGATACGATCCCGCTATTCAAGGTGTCGATCGGGTGAGTTCACTCTCCAAGCTGGAGCTCGACATCGACGAGCGCCTTGACCACCTCAACACCTCATCTTCCACTTCCTATTTCTCCTCCCTCTTTATTCTCTAATCTGCTGACAGCTGGCGACCGAGATTGCCACGGTTGAAATTAATGGATGAGCCTTATCCCATTCGAAGATTTATTTTTGAGTAAACTTCACAAAACCCCAGGTTTCCCCAGGTTTTGAGACACCAACAACATAGAACCTTAGGTATTATGATTTGTTTCGAGAAACACTAGATTTTGGTGCAAACTTTTTTCAAGAAACCCTATGTTTACATCAAATACTCATAATTTCATTATTATGCATGATATATTTAGTATATGTGTTCACATTAGTAACTCAAAATATATATACCTCTTTGTGTACTTTATCTTCTTCCTCACTCTTGCAATAATACCATTTAAAAATCGCAACACAACCCCTTAATAATGATACATTAACCAGTTACTTATACACAGCCATAATACCAATGCTCGCTAAAATAAGTCCAACACGTATATCAGGAATATCTCATATTATTTTTTACAATTATTATGCATACGTATATTAGTCAAAAACAATGATGTAAGGTTAAACATGGGGCTTCTTGAAACATTTTCCCCAAAACCTAGGGTTATTTGAAAAAAATCTTAATGCCTGGGGTTTTGCATTACGGGTGCCTTAAAACCTTGGGTTTTGTGAAATTTACTCTTAATTAATTTTTTTTCTTTTGTAAAAATCACAAAAGCTCACCTTATGTGATGACATGCATATGATGTTTAGTTCCACCTTGCCTATTGTAGGAGAGAGAAACCTCCTTATAAGGGACGGTACTCTCCTAGCCACTTGATGCATGTGTGGTGGAGAGAACAAGAGAAATACTCGCGCTCGTCTCGCCTGGCCTGGCTAGGCGGCGCGCGTACACGACATTCGCGTGAATGGTTCCTGCCAAAATTCGTTTCTCATCCTTGCACAGATGTTTCCTTTGACATTTTTGTTTTGCTGCGAAAATCGGTTTTGATTTTGGAAACACCCCGAATAATCCGGTGCAGATATCGTGCCTTGAGTAGCATGTAGTCCAGGTAAGTTACATGCGACTTATCTACTTCGGTTACGCGGTGTAGATATCGTGCATGCGTCTTGATCACGCATCCTAATATCTCTATAAAAACGAGCCCTCGCCTCCTTGCAATCCACGCGGAATCAATTAACCTCCTCCTCTGCAATGCGCTGTCTCTCGTAGTTTACTCTGACCCGCTCTCCGCGTGCACCGGCGCTTGGGAGAGCTGGTCTTCGGAACCTTCGCCTTCAACGTCCTGCGCTGGGAGAAAGCGACATTAAGGTTTTTGGGCAACGCTTTGTGAGACTGCTTGTTGTTCGTCCACCACGGCTCGTCTTCCTCTTCGCTCGGGTGTTGCGCGTCATCATCAACGTTCGGTACCGCGAGTTCTTCCTGCTGTGCAGCCGAACGTCCAGAACGCTTGGTACGCATTCATCGTGTTTCGTATATTCGATCTGTTCATGTTTTATTGTCCAGTTTACATGTGTAGATGTATATATGATCCGATTATGCTAGTATATATGTTCAATGTCGTTATTTATTTATAAAATAAATTAAATCTAGATGTGCTTATATTTTCAACAACCACCACCTCGTCAGGCTCCCTTGTCACCACTGCCACTTTATCAATTTGGAGCTCCCCTTCCACCTCCTCCACCAAAAGCTCAATGGAAAGTGAGCTCAAGATCGAGCACCACATCCCGATTCATGTCATCAAGTTTCATGTCATCGTGCACCGCCGTGTCGTCAGACCTTAGAGAGTGGCAGTCGGTGTGTCAGCGAAGTTACTCCTGACCGGCTCTCCCATATGCACTCAAAGGAAGCTACAGTCTCACCGGAGACTACGTGGAGGACATATCTAGAGGGTGCCAGCGTAGAGGATGGAATAGTCACCAACATTGCAAGCAGGGAGGCACGGGATACGCTATTCCACAGGTTCCACCTCTCCACCTTAGCTCCTTTGTCGCCGTGGTTTTTCTCCCGAGCAGTGAAGCCCACGCCATTCCCTGCTAAGATGAGGTCTCTCTCTTATGGGAGAAATAACCAATTCTCCCATCACTACTTTTGTAACATAGATAGCGCACTATAGGTGCCAAAACAACTAAAACTAGAACCTTTAATTTATTATAGGTGCCAGTTTTTTTAAAAAAACCTGATACATGTAAAAATCGAGCCGAGCCGACTGCATCATCCTTATCCACTCGCAACGACGTCGCCCGTGCGGATAAGCACGACATGCGCGAGCCCACCTCTCTCGCTCTCGTGAGCCCCTCTTTCTCTCTGGCGACTCTCTTCCCTCTCTCTCTTTGCCCCTCTCCTCCCCCACCCGCGAGGGCCGACGGCGGCAGCCCTTCTCACCCGCGAGCGTCGGCGGCGGGCTCTCTCTCACGGCTCTCCCTCGCGAGCGGCTGCTGTTAGATCCAGGCCGGATCCAGGCAATGGTGACGGCGGCACGACAGCACGACGACGGGCTCCCCAACCGAAGGCGACGGGGGCGGGGCGCCCTCTCCTCTGCTAGATCTAGCGGGAGGGAAGGTGGCGGGCTCCCTAAGCCGACTCCACTGTCGCGCGCTTCTCGCCTCTGCCATCCTCCACCACCTCATCTCCCTCGGCTTCATCAACGTGGTCATCCTCACTCACGCCGAGCTCGACCTCTCCCAGCAGGCCGACGTCAAGTCCTTCTTCCCCGTAGAGCTCCCATGCTACGTCGTCCTCACCACCGCCAAGGTCGGCGGCATCCACGCCAACTCCACCTTCACGGTCGACTTCATCGCTGCCAACCTCCAGATAGCGATGTAAGCGGGGCAGGAAAGCGAGTTTTTTTAGCCCGCTTATCTCAGTTATAGTTTAATTTTTCTTCCATATTTTGTACTACCATATAGGACATGAACTAGTAAGCGATTTTTATTCGGGTAGCGGGACTACCCACTTGCATTCCTACCTCCAGATCCAGTGAATGTTTGAGTTCATCCTTTGAGTTTGAGTTTGATTTTGATTAGAAGCTCTGCTAAGCTTGGCTTGAATCCAAGCCGAGCCCCGAGCTATTTTCTTTTTTTTTCCCTTGTTCTTCTGTATAGGTGCCTGTTCATGACTAAAACCGGCAGCTATATATATATTATTATTGGTGTTGGTTCTTTAATTAGCACCAATGAATGAAGTCATCCGTGCCGCCTGTTGGGTGACAGTTGAATCATCCAGCACCTAAGGCCGATTCCCAACCGGCACCAATATCATTTTTTTAATAGTGCATGGAGTGGAGACCCGTGGCAACACGTCGCTAACTTCCTTAAAGAGAAGTCACCGCATCTCCATGCGTAGAGAGAAGTTGATCGTTGCTGATAGGTGGTTGTGGAGTCAGGAGTGAGAATAGAAGAAGACGAAGATTGTAAATGGCATGTGGGCCTTATATTTTTATTTTATTATTTTCATTGATTGGGTGCCAGGTCAGCGCCCTCGTAGACGAAAACCACTATGGTTTTTAACTAGTATAGCAATTTGAACTGTTTTATAAGTTGTAAAGTGCCGTATACCCGATTTTCGTGCGCGAACATTCGCCCACTAACCATCTCGCGAATGGCGTCGGGACGAGGAGGTTAAAGACGTGTGATATCCGTTCTTCCCGTTTTATCCTTTTATACGTGATCGTTTTGGTACGTTTTTTTTTGTTTTTTTTTTCACTCCCTGGATACTGGAACGTATATATCTTTTTCTGTTCTTTCCGTCGAATCTTTTTTTTTTTTCAAATTCGTTTTTCATTAGTCCTTTTTATTTTAGTTTTTAACGGGAATTTTATATGAATTACTTTTTTTGCAAACTTTGTACATATGCATATATATAGACTTTATATAAGTAAAGTTTCTATATGTAGACTTTTATGTATGTAAATTTTTTATAAGTAGACTTTATATATGTAAAATTTCTATATGTAGACTTTATGAATATAAACTTTACATAGAATCTATATCTACACTTAAAAATTTTAATACGTCAATTTATAATAGAAATAAAAAATGCTATGAGTGGACTCGGTGTTCTAACTGAAGAAACAAACTCTTAACGGATCGCGCAGGACTACCAAAGCAAACTACCAAAGCATGCATGCGGGAGTCAGAACCAATTCGCGGACTTGGGGAAACGCGAACGTTCGCGCATTGGACTCACCCGCATCTAACAGGGCTATTTAAATTGTGGGGTCATACTAAAGCGCACCCAGCGATCTAGTATAAAGTATAAGCCTATATCGACGCCAGATCGAGTTGGCCGTGCGGGCGCACCAGATGGACATCGACGGCGCGGGCACTAAGGCGGCAGCAGCGGGATGGAAGGCGCCGGCGTCGATGGTGCTGGTGCAGCTGTTCATCACGGGGATGATCATGCTTTCCAAGGTGTCCATCGGCGGCGGCATGTTCATCTTCGCTCTGCTCGCGTATCGCAGCCTCTTCGGCGCCGTCTTCATCCTCCCCTTTGCCCTCATCTTTGAGAGGTTTCTTGTTTCCTACTCTTATTCGCATGCAGGCCAGAAGAACATTATTGCACTAAACTAGTGATGGGGGGTTAATTTAGGGCTCATCTACGGCATTTAGATGGCCATATATATAGTAGTTTTTAACTTAAATTGGAAGTATTTTAGTTTTCGTGCAACCAAAAACAGCGTTTTTCTAGTCTAGTTGAAATTGTGAATCATTGGATGCTATGGATAACGCCATGCGTAAACTTGTGGCTCAATGATGGATAGGTATCGCCAGCAGGTATCATTAGCAGTCTGTAGGATATGCATGCACTGTAAAAAAACAGGTGCCGTGATGAAAATATAGATTCTATTTTTGCTAAACTTTGTTTTGTGTAGAGGGAAGTGGAGGGACATGGATTGGCGCGCATTCGGATGGATCTTCTTCAATGCCTTTATCGGGTACGCATATATGTTTCTGAATCTGAAGCTTCAAATTACTGTCAAGTTTCCATTATTTATACATCCTCCGAATAAAAATGTACTCGGTTTTAACAAAATATACTAGATCATATACTAGTATTTTGGAGAACCTCAATGACCAAGGAACGAGCGGCCTGAGTTTAACAAAAATACCCATGATGTATTACTCATGCATGCATTTATCAATATACCTAATGTTACTGTAGGCATACGTCGCATATACGTAATCCAGGGCTACTATTTGGGATTTTAGAGGTAAACATCACATAAATATAAGTGCTTCCTATACTATATGTGTGTCCTTTTAAAAGACCCTTAGAACTATACTCCCTGTTCGACAATACCTATTATTTTGGACAATGACATGATTCTCGAAACATAGTTTGTTTGGGATTTTCTATTGTAGTGCACACAATAAATAAATATTTGATTTTGTTAAAATATTTTTAAGACTAATCTATATATTGTTCTATTGCCTTCAAAATGAATATTCAAATGTTATTGATACTCAAAATTCTATACCTCAAAAACACCAAAATAACACACAAAAAGAAATATCTATCGGTTCTTTTGAACTCAGAATATGGAAACTACACTACTAGACAAAAAATTTTGGTGACTGCCCCACACTCTTGTTATGGTCATGCTGAATAGTCATGAAAAACACTCTCTCGCCACACAAGTGTGTCACAGCATCACAAAATTTAGTTGTTCGGTGACTGAATGGATTATGTAGTCACAAAAGTTTACATGAAAATTATTTAGTTAGGTTTAAAAGTATTATTTATAATATTGGTGACGGTTATATTTCAAAGCTGTCACCGTTGATCCCGTAACTGATTTAATTGTGACAGGCTGAAAAGAAAAAAAAGAAAATACCAGAGAGAAATAGATTATTAGCTTATTTAGAAGAGTTCAGCTCTGTTTCTCTCTCCACCTCCTCATTCCTCTCGTTCCCCTCCTCTGCTCTCTATTCTTATCCTAGAGAGGATTCGATCTCCCCTTACAGCGATGCTTGTCACTGGCCGCGTCAACCGTTGAGCCGCCGCGTGTTCTCCTCATCCGCGTGCTATTAGATAAAAAATGAATTGATTGGCCAAATATGTATGGCAAACCAAAGTAGCTGTATCAACCGCTGAATTGAAAAATCAAGATTATAACAAAATACCAACTGAAACTATGGGTTGTCTTGTTCCATACTAAAACCAAAACCAGAGTTTGTTATAGCATTAAAGAAGGTGACGATAGCGAATGTTTTGCTAGTAGTACAACTTGTATTTTGATATGCTTGCGCATACAAAAAGAATTCGTAACGAAAGGCTGTCAGTCTGTCTATCTCTCTTTCTTAATTATATTATAGTTTAATATATAATTTGTTTTTCATTTATTTTAATATTTGGTAGTATGCATGTCTCCTCTCGTTATGAGTATATAAGAATATTTCGAATGAATGAAAACGAACAAAAGCACTGCATGATAAATAACAGAAACTTAGCACATCGCGGCCCAAACGAAAATGAGAAACTTTATGAGCTTGGCATTCCGATATAGTGCCAGTGACCTCTTGGTTTCATTTCAGTTGTGTCCTTTCTAAAGTCTGTGATGGACACGATACTGCCCTCAGTTTCCATCAATTCCCATTGTATGCATTCGGCCTCTTGCACATCTTGTCACATTCTTCCAGAACAATTGTTTAAAATGATAAGCATACATTTTAATTTAAAGAAGGTTAAAGATATTCTTGATTCGATATACATGCTCCGATATTCGTTTCAAAAAAAAAATCGTTTCAAAAAAAGATATACATGCTCCGATATTTCTTTCAAAATAGGTTTGGCAAAGCATAGAACTAAATATACATTTTTTAAAAAATTAAAATGTTCAAACTTACACCTCTTCACTTTGGTGTCTGTGTAGTCTGTAACTCTGTATGAATAATAAGTCAACTTAAGATTTTACGGAAGCACTTAATTTGTTAGGAGGATTGCTTCAACGGCAAAAATGAAGCTACTAGATCCATCCAATAGCTTTGCTGGAAGATATCTTTTGCACAAACCTCGTTGAGATCTTCACCAGAAATTATGAAATCATGATATGTTCAGTTGATTACCATATAATAGTAATTAACTTAATTCTATAGGGATACAAATGGGACCCGGATCCATTGTCTTTAGGCGCTAAAGGCAGAGATGCTGTCTAGCACTACAAAAGAAAACAGTGATTTGTATTTATTCACTGTAGCAACAGCGTAGAGCAGGAAACTGAACTGTACCATGCTACTGTTTATTTTGTACATCGATCTTGCTGGTTCACTCCAAAGTCATGGTACTAATACACATCTGATTTCACCTTGCGATATATATATTTGTCTGTTCACTGTTCAGAGACGCTGCGACAAAGAATCTTTGCTCTAATAAGATACTCACTCTGTCCCATATAAAATCAAACCCTAGCATCTCAATGTAAAATTAGGAGAGAGGGAAAATGACCAAAATACCTCTTATTATTAAAAAAATAGTAATGATGATAGGATGATAAAGGGTATTGGAGAAATTAAATTTCTCATTTTACGTGCTGATAGTAGATAGGATGGTAGAAGTTGGTTTTTCGTGGGATAAAATTCAAACTCCAGAGGTTGATTTTTTTTTTTTTTGGGACGGAGTGAATAGAAATTTACTGATGGCAAAGCCAATTTGGTGAAAGACTGTTACATATATAGGAGAACCAATTTGACAGTACGTGATCAATAATCACTTTAGTGTTGACCAGTTCTAATTAATTATCTGAGACATGGTTTTCATCTTTCTTCTCACATATCAAACTATGCAGGTATGCAGTTCCAATGAGCCTTTACTTCTATGGGCTCAAGGACACCACTGCATCCTACGCAGTCATCTTTATAAACATCATTCCCCTATTCGCCTTCATCCTCTCACTCATGTTCAGGTAAAGGTTCCATTTGCAAGGTTCCATTCGCCTTCTTTGTTGTGTACAATGTATTTCAATACTTATAGGTTCCAACAATAATTGTTAATAGATTTTATTACTTGAGAAAGTATCTTTAGTTATCAAAAATTTAAACTAAAAGTTTTGGTACCTTAGGGTACAGGGTTCCTAGTATCTCGGGCTTAGATATTAAGTTTTACAGTAGAAAACATAATATCAACCAGTATCTTCTTAACAATGGTAAAATTAGCTATAATTATTTCATGGAATGAAAGTAATGCACTTGATAGTACCATGGCAAGCAGTGTGTGATTTCAATCCTCATGTCCCGTGTTCAATCTCCAGCATGCTTACAATTTCTCTTAAGAAATATTTGGAGGGACGTATCTCCCTCCAAATCTCGTTTTTAATTTCATGGAATGAAAAAAGATGACCATTTTTGGGTAAACTCGAATGGTGTTGCAAATATATGATCTCACTGAATCATATGGATATGCTGTATCAACATATGGCAGACTGGAGACATTCGAAATTGGAAGCATAGTTGGGGTACTGAAGATAGTGGGTGTTCTGCTCTCTGTGGGTGGCACAATGCTTGTCAGCTTATACAAAGGCAAGTCACTGCATCTCTGGAATTCCATTTTGCAGCACCAAAATGAACCGGCCACAAAAACTGCAACCAATCAGCTAAGAGGGACAATTTTATTGGTTGCCAGCAGCTTTGCCTATGCTTGCTGGTACCTTGTTCAGGTAATCACGAGCAATTTTACAGTTCTTAGGAGATACCACTTTTTCTATTGCAAATTTGGTACCTCTTAGTACCTAAATACTATGAGATACAAAAATTTACACTAAATTTTTGGTACCTCCTCAAGAACTATAAAATTGCTCTAATCACAAACTTACCTTTTAATAGAAACATATATACTAGAATAATCTTATGCTGATATTTCCATGTTGTAACTGTATTTGCAGTCAAAAGTTCTGAAAGTGTACCCATACAAATATTGGTCTTCCATGATAACATGCTTGGTTGGAGGATTTCAGGTAGCATTTGTCGGAATCATATTAAGGAGACATAAGAGTGCTTGGAAGCTAGGATGGGATCTCAACCTTGTTACTGTTGTGTACTCAGTATGTCTTCAAACCTTCCTAGTTCTTGAAATTAACTTAACTAGAAGCTACAATGAGAAAAGTATAATATTTTGTTTCCTATTCTTGGGGTGTCCAGTGTAGCTTGAGTTGTAGTATTAACTAATAGTCCTGGAGTTATAATATGATTTTGAAGGAATAATGAATTTTCATGAAACACAATAGGCCTAATTGTTCTACGGATATTGACATCAAAACCACTTTGGTGTAGGGTGCACTTGCAACGGGCGGGAAATATAGCCTTAATTCATGGGTAGTGGCTAAGCGAGGTCCAGCCTATCCCCCGATGTTCAACCCACTATCAGTGGTCTTCACTGTTGTGCTGGACTCCGTCCTTATGGGGGATGATGTGACAGTAGGAAGGTCAGTTGCAATCATTTGTACTATCTATGATGCATGTTCGGTATTTCCAACAGAAAATGCATGTCAACCCATTATCAGTGGTCTTGCTAAGCCGAATTTGCATGACACCCAATTTTACATACGCCGTGTTTAGTTTCAAAATAATTCTTCAAACTTCCAACTTTTTCATCACATCAAAACTTTCCTACACACAAACTTCCAACTTTTTCATCACATCGTTCCAATTTCAACCAAACTTCCAATTTTGGTGTGAACTAAACACAGCCGTAGCCTAAAAACACATTCCAAAGTGGCATGCATATTTCTGACAGTAATGGATAATTATCTACGGTGAACAACCACCATTACACAAATGGGCAACAGTGAACGGTATTGACCAGGCACTAACCAAGCGGCATATCATTGCCAAAAGAAAAGGCTCGAAAAATGATCATATTTTACCTGATATATATTGGGTTTGGAAGTCTTGATGTTTTATCTGATATGTTCGGCATTTGAATCTGAATATCTCTCTCCACGCATGGCTTACGTAGCATCTTACTTCTATCTAAGCATAGCTTTTTTGGCATCTAAGGAAACACATGTTTTCTTTTAACTCTAATAGTTCAAAAATTCAAATGCATATTTGAGCCTCTATATAACTTCAAACAAAAAATTAATCAGATGTATAGTAGATATAAACAAATTATACAGTTTTGACATAAAAATTATCTCCAACCGAAATTAAAATTTTAAAAATGGTTTTGTTTTTCATAGAAGATCTCAACACTTCTAACATATATCTTGGCATGTAAAAGATCTACAATAAAAAGATCATAAATTACAAGGTTATATATCTCAGCAAATTCTACGATTTCGATCTAAAGCTTGTCTTCATCCAACTTCTCCATTTTTAAAAAGAAAATTCATTATGATGCTTCCGTACTTAGTGGAGAGGATGGTTCAGTCATTGGGCAGGACGACTGTATGCTCTATTATGTAACAGAACTAGCGATGATATATTAGTGCTGGTTCATAACAAGAACCTAGTAGTATTACGGCCAGATATAAAGGAACAGGCCGTGATGGGATTGTTACAAAGGTCATTTCTGTAGTACTGAACAACAAAAAGAAACAAGTGACGAAGCTGGTCATGTGAGCAGTACTTTAATATTCGACCATAACATTTGATTTAGTTGCTCTCTTATTTTGAATGTGCAGTATCATAGGCACAGCAATGGTGATTGTTGGGCTCTATCTTTTTCTCTGGGCCAAAGCATGAGAAGTACCTAGGCAGTAAACATATAGTGTAGATTCCACATAAGTTCTTGAAGATACAGAATACACTGGAGTTGTATATGTAGACAATGAGATGTATATTTATATAGCAGTAATTTAAATGCAAAAACAATATACTGGAGGACGAGTGCTTAATTACTTATACTGTTTGTTTGTTTGTTGCTGAAGAATTAATGCTACTGCAATATTATATTATACACCATTTGAAGAAAATATTGTTGATCAGTCCTTTCATTATACCATTAGAACAAAATATCGTTGATCAGTCCCACGCGTATCACTCCTTCTACAGAGATATTTGATGCATGTATGAGTTTGGAGAAAGCAGAAAGCATGTTGCCAATATATGGAAGATGATATAAGAATAAGCGATAATTCATTATTCATATTTGTTTTGTCTCAGTACAGTTCTACAGTTTTATACTCTTGTTATGTTATCGTCAGCTTATCTTTTAAAGTTTTAATTTTGAACCAGCTGTGTTCTATCAAATTGTCTCTCTCTATATATTTTTGTCATAGTCAATTTGAGAGTCCGTAACAAAGTTCTATCAAATTTTCTCTGTATATATATTTTTGTCGTAGTCGATTTGATGGTCCGTTACAAAGCAAAGGGAGTCGGAAACTTGGCTAGTAATTAACCTTCATATTGTAAAACACCTCATTATTGGTAGTTAGTTGTTTACTTATTTCAGAAGAACTGCCCCCTTAGTAGAGGAAAAATATAAAATAAACTTGAAAATATAAAATAAAGGTCTTAATAAATTGATGCTGATCGGCCTTGGACAAGTATGTACTGTAGCTCTCTTCAATGTGCTGAAAAACTACACTGCACTCCCTCCATTTCTTTTTTTTTTTTGAGAAACACAGTACAAACGCAGGCGCTCACAACGTGCGCACTCCACTCCCTCCATTTCAAATTAATGGAAGTTACGGATTTGTATTTGGTCAAATATTTTTATCTTTGATGATCGAATTTTATAAACTCATAATATTTCGTAACATAAATTCACTTAGGAAAATTTTGTATGGAAAATTTAAAACATTTTGAATTCTAAAATTTTTGTGAACATGCCTGTGGGACACCCCAGATTAAATATTATGTAAACTATTCGAAACGATAGCTTAGTTGGATGGGGTCTCAATAAAACTCAAATAAAACAGTAATCGTCCAACCTCATCGCTGCCCTATCAAGTCAAATAGCAAACATATTATGTAACCCAAAGAATCGCGTAGAGAGCATAGGAAATATTACTGGGACTCCACATGCTAGTTAACTTTAGCCTGAGACATGCCCGTCAAACCACACGAAGGTGTTGACTAGATGTTTTACACAACTCGGGAGACTTGACAAATTGTTGGAGCTCTACAACATCTCAAATGCTCTAAACTCATACTCATGTGTAACTAGTTCCTACAACAAGCACTAGTTTCACATTTTCATCTAAGCAATGATAAGCAGAAATAGGGCATAAACACAAATTAGAACTCAAATTACTACCGGATGTAATTACCTAGGCTGACCGAACAAATATATATATAATGATCCGCAGAAGCTTGTATACTAGTTCCCACAAGCAGCCTCTACTAGGGGTAGACACCTAACGAATCGAGTCCTAGAAGAAGTCGGAACCCGAATCACTCAACTTAAGTCAAATCTAATACCTGCAAAACAAGATCATATACTATGCCACACATGACCGCGAGTATGGCTAGTTGAATAGTTTTAACAACTTTACCAACATAATGTGAATCGTTCTAGTTTGTCCTGTACCCGTCGGTACTAGCACACTCTACACGTTGAATGTGGTCTAGAGGTCACCACGTAGCCTTTATATTATCTAATGCCTAGCCTTGCACCAGAACGGCAAGTGTGACCGTTAGGTGGTGGGCCTACGCCTTGAACATAACATCGTGGCGGCAAACGCATCTGTTACCCCATGAGGTACTGTACTGTTATATTGCACAAACTTAGATGCCTAAACTACTATTAACAGTGAAATTTGGCAAGATAGACTCGAATTGGAGTTGGATATCAAAGCGGAATCGAAGGAGATAGAATCTTACCAAAAATGGACTGCGCATTGACTGGGCAGCGTATCGGCTGGAAACAGAGTTGGAATTTGGTTGAGTCGATATGGCAGGTAGCCGATACAGCTCTACTTAGGCTCAGTTTGGGCCTCGATTGAGATAACCGTCATTGCCGTTTAGAGATATAGTTCATTTAAGGCAGTTGTATCTATTAATTAGAATATTTATGTCGGTTTGAGTTAGAGATATGGCAAGAGTCTGCCGAATGGATTTGTTTGTATTTTCTCTTTAGAAAAGCTTGAGTCGTGTCCACAATGAACAAGTTTTGTACTCGGGGTATAAATATAAACTCCAGACCATTGTAATAAGAGAGAGAATCCAATCAATACAACGTTCAGCGCATTGCCACCCCTTTTCTTTTACTTCTCGACGAGTTCTTGCTTCAAGTCGGAGCATCGGCCATGAATTCTTGGCAAGAAGTAACTTGTCTCGATGGCTAGCGCTATCGGGGCTATTATATCGTTTTAGATGTATTAGCCCTTTGATCGTGACCATTGTTATCATATATCTTAGTTAATCTAGTCTTAGTATCGGTGGGGAGGTGGTACGGTGGCTACTACTCCAGATTTGGTGCAAGAGATAAAAAGGAAACATATTTTTTAACAAATCCAATATTTCTTTCCGAAACAAACCAAACCAATCTAATCTAATCTCCTCCTTCCATCCTACACATGCGCAGTGCACCATCACGGATACAACCACGGGACATGATACAACCACACGACAAAAACCTAGATGCAACTCCAAAACTGACGAACAAAACTTCTAAAAACTACAAAAATCGAACCCTGGCGGTGAGACGAGTCCGTTTTCGTAGGTCTTGACGACAACAAAGACATGGCGGCGGTAACAACAATGGTGGTACTAGATGTGACCAGAACTCGAAACTCTATACGGAACTGTCATGCCCAGAAATTTCCGAATAGAATTCCAAGCAGAATGTGCATTAAAACCCCTGTCCAGGACCGGCCAGGGTACACAAACGACAAAGTTGACATACAGATCCACGACGGAAATTAAAAACATTCCACAGGCATATAAAAATCTTACATAAATGCAACGGAAATTAAAAGATAAACTTGAGCTAGATCTTGACTTGGATAGCGGGCGACACCATTCCACGGGCATCCTCGACGGCACGGACGAAGCCTACTCCTCCGAGTACCACCATCTGACGCATACTCGAACTCTGGGGTTGAGAGACCGGGCAAGACTGAGTACTACCCACTATACTCAACAAGTCATACTGGAAGAGAAGGTATTATGCAGGATATAACCAAAGAGAGCTAGAGGGGTTCATATGCATAAAGTTAGCACTTAAAAGCAGTAGTTGAGAGCAGTAAAATAGATGTAGTAATTAATCAATATTAATCATCGCTGCTCTACGCTACACCATGTTGAGATAGACCCAAACCACTACCTGAACTAACCAGATCCATTAAGCTATACTAATGATGTGACTAATCACGGTGAATCTGGTTGACCCCTCATAACCGCGGGTACGACTATTCGAATAGTTTTACTCTGATCAGAGGTGTACAACTGTACCCACAAGACACAGCCCCACGACACGTTTCTGTGCGCCGACATGCCACCATGACATACCGGAAAGAGGCCGTGACAGGACCCTTCGCATAAGCCCCTCTAACCAAGCACACCACACCTCAGGTTTTGCCCCCACTCCTCATCAGGCAGCGAGCAGCCCCCTCTCGTGCCTAAGCGAATCAGCAAGTCGCATAGGCCATCGCAGGGCCTATCCGAACACCATCACGCTCACCCTTGCCTGGATGCGTCAACTAGAGGAAAGCTACACTACAAGCCCAGCCGTTGCCCACGCTGGCTTGTGGTATGTACGGTAAGTTCTTCCAGGGCATCCCTCAAACCGGTCCTTAATTGCCATGGGCGCGACTAGCAAAACCATGCACCCACAACCCACCATTTAGTGTATCTTAATTAATTAACACCATTGCGGTGGTACAAGTCCAAAGTCATGCTAATAATCAATGTCTAAGCATTAATGCAATTCCCCCTTTGTGTACTAGTTGAACTAAGCAGGGCTAAGCAATTCCTAAACCAACATCTAAACATGTTACATCCCAAGTTATCAAAGGAATAAGGCATAAAAATGATAAGGCTGAGAATAGTAGGTAAATACCTCATACAGTGACATTATAAAACAATGCATAATTTAAAGGAAAAGTAGAGCATTTGAAATATAGGAGCAATATGTTCAAGTGACAAGCATGACTTGCCTTGCTATGCTGATTGGGGGGGGGGACCTCGGCGACTATCTCAAAGTACACTGGAGCGTCGGAAGAGCCGGATTCTACACGATATACAAGGAAAACAATGCAAATAGGCTATAAGGCTACTGAAACAGAGAACAAAACCATTTTTAATGGATTCTTTTGATTTTTCTGTATATACTGAGACTTCAATGGACTTAAACGGAGCACGGATGAATTTTCTATGAATTTTAGAAGGTACACTGTGTTTTATTACTATAACAGAAAAACCTTAATTGCATTATTCCGCATTAAATGACCCTGGCTGATGTCATCGGGGGGAGGGGGGAGGGTGGCGCCGACAGGCGGACCCCACCTGTCAAAGGCTCATGGGTCACCAGTCCACGTTGAACCGGGTTCACAAGACCGGAGGGGAGCGGCGCACCATGAGGCGCCGATGTGGCGGCCACGTGGACAACCACGCGGGTGGAGGACAGACGGCCCTGATCTAATGGATGGTAGGCCGGACGGCGGTGGTGCGGCGCGGCTGGGGCACGCACGGGCACGACTCAAGCCAGCCCGGCAGCCATGGCACGTGGCGGCGCGGGGTCGGCCACTGGCGGCCAGCGGCAGGTGACGCGGAGAGCGACGGCAAGAGAGGGAGAGGGGAAAGGAGGGGCGTCCTCACCGTGAGGTTCGGCCGGCGCGGAGGGAGGCGACGGCAAACGGCGACGGCAACGGGACTGACCAGCAAAACGAGATGGATTAGTGGGGAAGAGGGAGTCCACGGTGAGCGAGGACGCCGGCCGAAGGCGGCGGCAATGGCGAAACTGACTGGCGCATGGGGAGGAGTGGGCTCTGGTGGTGGATTCCGACGACTGAG